TACACCTCGTTGTCTCAGATTCTCCAGCATCTGCAGTTCCTACTATCTCTGAAGCAATTATACACAGGGACTAGTTGTATATACATTGCGCTTAAATGAACAAAACAGGTGACAGCTGGTTAATTTCTCAGGACAATGCATTGACAAATCAGAGTCAAACTGCTCAATTTAAAATTAAGCAAAACCTGTCAGTTAAATGTCAGTCACTGCTATAGGAAGGATCTTATTAAATTGGAGAGGGTTCGGTAAAGATTTACCAGGATGTTGCTGGGAATCGAGGGTTTGAGTTATAAAAATAGGCCGGAGAGGCTGGGACTTTTTTCACTGGAACATAAGAGGTTGAGGGGTGACCTTATAGATGTTTATAAAATCATGAGAGGCACAGATAAGGTGAATAGCAAGGCTCTTTTCTCTAGGGTAGGGGAGTTCAAAACTAGGGGGCATATTTTTAAGGTGAGAGTAGAAAGTTTTCAAAGGGACCTGAGGGCAACTTTTTTATACTGAAATGTGTGGAATGAACTGCCAGAGAAAATGGTGGATGCAGATACAGTTTCAACATTTAAAAGACATTTGGATAAGTACATGAATAGGAAAGATTTAGACAGATACAGGCTGATCACAGGCAAGTGGGACCAGTTTAGTTTGGGAACATGATCAGCGTGGATTAGTTGGACCGATACATCCTGACCTGTGAAAATAATTGAACAAAACTCCAAAATATCCAACTATTTTCAGACAAATTCACAATTCCACTCTAGCTAGCTGCACCACAGATCAGAATGCAGGAAAGCATCCAAAATGTTCCTGTTTACTGTTTCTGGGTTGAAGTTTTGGCTGAGTGTAAACACAATCTTAGTAACTCTGTCCGTAATTCAATACAATCAGGTCAGTAGTTTCATGGGAAAAGTTAATAGTTCAGGCAGTATTATTTCAGGCCGGACATTAATGTCAAGGGTTGAATGTCAGAGTCAGTGCAGCAAGGAACTAGTTCAAAGAGTCACTTTATTATCTTGTGTATTATTTATGAATTGCAGCCACTTAAATTTAAGGATTGTTTGCTTAGTGTTTTTCTTTGTCAATCACATCATTCAATTACTAGAAAAGTCAATAGTCCAGCCTTTATTACCTTCTCACAATGGTATAAATGAGTACTGGATTGGATTGCAATTGAATTCAGAAAGCTTAATACTGGCTGAAGAGCAGAGTCTCCTGTATAATTTACAATAAATAAGGGTAGTGTTTATACAATTAATGGTAGGGCCTTGGATAGTGTTGTAGAATAGACAGACCTAGGGGTGTAGTACATATTTCTTTGAAGTTCGTGTCACATATAGACAGGGTGGTTAAAAAGGCATTTGGCATGCTTGCCTTCATTGCTCAGTCCTTTGAGTAAAAGAGTACGGAAGTCATGTTGAGGTTGTACAGGTCATTGGTGAGGTGTCTTCTGGAATACTGTGTCCACAGTTATATACTGATCGCACAGTTATAGAAAGGATATTTTTAAGCTGGGGAGGGTTCAGAAGAGATTTACCAGGATGTTGCTGGATATGGAAAGTTTGAGTTACAAAGAAAGGCTGGATAGGCTGGGATATCTTTCTACTGGAGAGTAGGAGGTTGAGAGGTTGAGAGGTGACCTGATGGAATTTTATAAAATAATGAGAAGTAGAGGTACTGGGATGGGGGATTTCAAGATTAGGGGACACATTTTTAAGATGTGAGGAGAGAGATTTAAAAAGACAAGAGAGGCAATTTTTTACATAGATGGTGGTTTTTGTGTGGAATGAACTTCCTGAGGAAATGGTGGATGTAGGTACAATTATGACATTTAAAAGACATTTGAATAAGTACATGAGGAAAGACCTGAAAGATATGGGCCAGGAACAGGTAGGTGGGACTAGTTTAGTTTGGGATTATGTTCATCATGGACTGGTTGGACCGAAGGGTCTGTTTCTGTGCTGTATGACTCTAAAATTTTTACTTTAGCAGCAAGACCACCTCAATAACCTCTCACATCTCAATTCCTACAACAGCTCCTCTGTTGCTGGAATCTTCACCCATGTCTTTGTTATTCTCATACTTGACTAGTTCTGCATGCTCCTGACTGATTTCTCATTTTCTATCCATGTGATCCTCCAAGCCCTTGTGCTCGAGCTGACCTTTGACATTGGTCACATGCAGGATCTGAGAATGAGCTTCATTAAACTCAGTAACTGGGGCCTGTTGGTGTGCAGGGAGGGTCCTGTGCATACGTCTGGTGAGGGACCACTGTGTTCAGGTCGGGGAAAGGCCCCGTTGTGCCCAGGTCACGGGACAGAGCCACTGTTTGGGTCTGTGTTCAGGTTAAAGGTGGGGTGATTTACGGGGATTATGAGTCAGAACTGGAAATGGGCCTCTAGATCAATTGTAGCTCCAGAGCCCATGATTTACTTTCCTCACCTACTTCGCCAGCAATGTGTCAGTGTTAACATTCTTACCTTTGTTTTCAAATCCCTTCATTGCCTCAGCCCTAGCCCTATTTCTATAACACAAAACTAG